AATGTTTTTTGATATAAAATATGCAGCTTTTACTGACATTTAAATCTGCAGCTACTTCACTTAAAGACCAATTTTCTTCTAATTTGGCTATTGCCCTGGACCTCTGAGCCTCGGTTAAGTGGGGTGGCATTTTTAATATTGCAATTGACAACTATTATCAAATTTGACAACTACCGACGACACTGATGCAAAGCCCATATTACACGATTAAATTTTGCCGTTCACATTTCGGGGACGCCAATTGTACAATTGGCGTCCCCGAAATGTGAACGACAAAATTTAATTGTGTAATATGGGCTTTGCATCAGTGTCGTCGGTAGTTGTCAAATTTGATAATAGTTGTCAATTGCAAAATCAAAAATTCCACCCCACTTAACTGAGGCTCAGAGGTCCAGGACAATAGCCAAATTAAAATAAAATTGGTATTTAAGTGAAGTGGCTGCAGATTTAAATATCAGTAAAGGCTGCATATTTTATATCTAGAAACGTTGGCAAGAACAACAAAGATTATCACATATTAGGCAAAATCCTTTTAATAGCGCAGTTAAGGTCCGAGAAGATACACAATTTCCAGGATCTCTTTAACAGCTGGCTTAAAAAACTTTGATGCTGCTCATAAGGTTTTTTTAACTGACGAGAATAAGTCCAGGAGAGTCCATCTAAATTATGGAGAGGGATTTTGGAATAATGTTAAAATTTCTGATGAAAAAACGTTCCAATCTTGCAATAATAGAAGGTGGCGTGTATATTGTCCAAGAGACGCAAGATTGAGAATATCTACACATTAAGAACCTCAAATAGTGGACGCTTTTCCATAAATGTTTGGGAGTTGATAAGCGTTCATGGTGCGGGAATATGTTGGGAAATTGATGGTAGATTAACGGCTATACGACCGTTAGACATGTGTTTCCTTCAGTTAGACATGTGTTTCCAGAAAATGTTATATTCCAACATGTTAGAAAACTGTATAGTATAGAAAAATGATTCTAATATATATTATATTACAGGACAATGCACCAGTTCACACAGCTCGCGTTACAGAGTGGGTAAACAACAACCACATAACTGTTTTGCCATGGCCAGCTAGAAGTCCTGACTTAAACCCCATTGAAAACGTGTGGGGTTTTATATTTAAAAAAATATATTAACGGGACTTTGGGCTAGCAAACCGAAATGATCTACGGAATGCTATTGAAAATTCTTGGGAAGAGCTTGTTGAGTCATACGACATGCGTTACCTAATAATGTCCATGCCAAGAAGATTGCAAAGTGTTGTGGCAGCTAATGGCTCTGTAATTAAGTATTAAAATAGCTTATGAGCAGCAGCACAGTTTTTTAAGCCAGAAAACCGAAATGATCTACGGAATGCTGTTGAAAATTCTTGGGAAAAGCTTGCTGAATCATACGACATGCGTTACCTAATAATGTCCATGCCAAGAAGATTGCAAAGTGTTGTGGCAGCTAATGTCTCTGCAATTAAGTATTAAATTAGCTTATGAGCAGCAGCACAGTTTTTTAAGCCAGCAAAACGAAATAATTCACGGAATGCTGTTGAAAATTATTGAAGAGCTTGAAGCGATTTGGTTATGTTTGTACTACTTTATTCATTATACGATATTATCATTGTGTAAAGTTGGTAACACGTCTTAATTCAAATTTTCCGCCTTAATAATTTCCCGCGAAATTTAATAGTTTTTTTGGTGATACTCGGCCAACATTTGCCTGTTGTCTTTAGCAGTTGCTTGCAACGTTTTAGATCTTTACATTTTGTTATCATCCTCGGGATTAATGTTCGTTTTATTAAACGAAAAGTTATCTGGTGAAACAGGTAACTAAATTAATATATTATTTTATGTTCACTTAAATTAAGTGGTGAAACAGTTTTTAGATTTAATAACCGAAGAATCAAGAAATGTTACCAATTTGAGGGTCAATTTGTCTTAACAGAATAAAGCGTGTTCAGGAATTACAGTCTTTAAAAACCTACCACCCACACCTTCGGCAAGTTTCCACCACTTTGCTACAAGCTTAAGACATTTAAATCTGCAGCTATTTCACTCAAAGACCAATTTTCTTGAGCAATATGTTAAATTTGCTATGCTATTTTTATTTGTTAATTACCTACTTGTTAATATTGTTGTACAAAACCAAATTAAAGTTAATTTATTTGTAATATTGTATATATTACTGTTTGTTAAAATATTATTAAAAATTATTCTTATTCTTAGTATTATCCCCTCTATTTGTAACACCACTGGCCGAAGCCAGGAATAAACGAATTAATTTTATGAAAAAAATCCATGACAACCAAAAATCGTTCACATTTCGAGGACGCCAATTGTACATGTTGAACAACTTTGCAAAAAACTTTATAAATCATATTACTCCTTTAGAGTAATTCGATCGTATGTAGACTTTCAAACCTTAAAAACATTGTATGTTGCAAATATTCAATCCTTGTTGAGATATGCTATCATTTTCTGGGGCCAAAGTACTAACGTTGGAGATATATTTGTAATACAAAAAAAGGTCTTGCGCACAATGTTGGAACTAGGACACATGGAATAATGCAGAGGTATTTTTAAAACAAACAAAATCTTAACCATTTATGGTCTTTATGCTTGTGAACTTGTCTTATTTATGTACAAAAATAAATTTTTATTTCAAGATCTAAAATCTTTAAGCACAAGACACAATTATTTTTATTACCCTTATCATAGGTTATCAATATACGAAAAAGGCAGTTTTTATGCATGTATAAAAGTATTTAATAGTCTACCTGCTAATATCAAGGAAATTAACAACCTAAATTTACTTAAGAAGGAATTGTTTAACTATTTTTGTGATCTGGAGCCATACTCCTTTCATGATTTGTTTTCACATTGAAAGTGTTTATGTATTTTTTGACTTTTTTCTTCTTTGTACATATTATTGTGTTTTTTCTTGTAATTTAATGTGCAAATTTTTGAAAATAAACGATATTATTATTATTATTATTATTATTATTATTATAATATAAATTTATATACCTAAATCATATAAAAGAAACGAACTGTAAACAAACTCATGTATAAAAATCAGATTTTTTAACATGAGTTTGTTAATTTTATCATAATTTTTTGTACAACACCAGGGTTTGTAATTATTTTAACAAAGAAAATATTTTACCAAAAATTTTGTGAAGGTAATATGCAATTTTGTAAGCATTTTGTTAATTTTCCAAGGTTGCGAATATTTTGTAAAATTTTAACAAATTGTTTCGTTGGGTATTGTTGTACTGAATCCTAGATTCATGCACAAGTTTAACTAACTTCAGCGTCTGCAACTTATGTTTCTGCTTACTTTATTCTAATTCGCAACGTGTTCATAGCAACTGTCCAAAGCAGTGGCGTACCTGAGGGGCCCGCAGGGCCCGCAGGGCCCGCAGCGCGTGGGGGGGCGAGATTTGAGGGGCCCCGCTAACACTTAAAAAAAAAATATATGATCAGAAATCTGTTATTATTGTTATTCGGATTCCTTATACCTATTTAACGAGTGTGCTAAGTGCGAATATCCGAAAAAAGATGCCATAACTGGTTTTCAAACTGAAATTAGGGTATACAGTGACATGGGTTAAAGTTACGAAATACGTCAGTAAGTGTTGTAATTTATGTGGACCTGGATTAACATAAAATTAAAATTCGGTTAAAATATTTTTTAACTGGTTTATTTGCTATATTTTGTTATTCTTTTTATCAAATTTTTTTAATACAATTGGGTCAGAATTTCTCAAACGGGCCACCTGAATTAGGTCAAAATTAGTTTTTGTTTGTAGATACATTTTTTCGATAGTATTTTACATCACTAACACAAATCCTAAAGGATTTTGTAAAAAAAAAATTTTCAATTGACATATTCATGATATTAAAAGTCAAAGTTTTTAATAATTAAAAAATAAAAAAATTCATTATGGCTGAACTAATTATCCGATTCCAACGATATAACTAGCGTTGGAATCTTGTTTTGACATAGATTCTTTGTTATTTTTTTCAATTGTCCTATTTTCATTTAGGTCGATTTTTTTTTGTTTTTTTATACCAAATTCGGAAATAATTGCCTTCTGCGCCAGCTATCGACTCTAGAAAAAAAACACATATACTCCAATCATTTCTCGAAATTATGCTGCTGAGAAAAAAAAATGGCCCGCAGGTTGACAAAAAGTTATTCGTCCTTTTGTGGCCGCGCGCGGTGTCAGCTCACGCTCCGAACCGTGTACGCTGTACGCGCTTGTGACGCGACGTCTTACGGTGGTCTGGAACCTGCGGGCCATTTTTTTTCTCAGCAGCATAATTTCGAAAAATGATTGGAGTATATGTGTTTTTTTTTTCGAGTCGATAGCTGGCGCAGAAGCCAATTATTTCCGAATTTGTTATAAAAAAAACAAAAAAAAATCGACCTAAATGAAAATTGTACAATTGAAAAAAATAACAAAAAATCTATGTCAAAACAAGATTCCAACGCTAGTTAAATCGTTGGAATCGGATAATTAGTTTAGCCATAATGATTTTTTTTTATTTTTTAATTACTAAAAACTTTTACTTTTAATATCATGAATATGTCAATTGAAAATTTTTTTTTTACAAAATCCTTTAGGATTTGTGTTAGTGATGTAAAATACTATCGAAAAAATGTATCTACAATCAAAAACTAATTTTGACCTAATTCAGGTGGCCCGTTTGAGAAATTCTGACCCAATTATTGTAAATTATTTAAATTACTAAAAGTTAAACATACCCAAAAAATACATATAATTATTGTTAATAAATAAATATAATTTCCAAATCTGATAATAATATTATGTTCAACTGCAATTATTTTTCATTTTTCGTTTGAACTCGGTCAATTAAATAAACGAATAATATAGTGCTACTATTAATGCTAATGTAGACATAAATATTCATAAATAGGCATTAAGTTTTCAATAGATTTGTTAATTTAAAATTGTTAATTTAAAATCACGATTAAATATGCAAATCCGCCCACCCACCTGTATGTGTTCGGAGATGAGCTTTTAGATGCGAGCTCTTTCCGTAGACCTTGGTGCATCCTTCGTAAGAACACCGATGAGTTTTTTTGACGGGCGGAGCAGGTTTAACTGGAACCGAATTCTGGGTTCTTGTTAGCGGCGGTCTTAACGGAAGCGGATTCTGAACCGGAACATCATCCACGCGAGTTTCAACCTTTCGGGAATGTCGAGATCTTGGTTTAGTGATTGGTGGTGGTGCAATATGGGTGTCACTGTCATCATCGGGTCCTTCATCGATTGTAAGGGCTTCCTCGTTATCGGATGTATTTTCCGGTATTTCCTGTTTGAGGCGGGTTAAATCGGTGAGAATCCGGGCCACCATGTAGGATTCGGGTTCGTCTTTGATGTAATTCGGAGGTACCACAGGAACCTGCTCTACAATTACAGCCGGACCTGGTGGAGTATACGAATCTCTAGCAACAGGATCCATAACTCTTCGATGAGACATTTCCAGCAAGCAATGTGCTGCAAAATTTATATCGTCCATCGCTTCAAGAACTTATGGAAACACTTATGAATATGATTAAAATCGAGAGAGCACTCACTGAACAGGTCGCACTGTATCAATATTGGTTAGCGGAACAGGTGAAAACTTTGTTTATATCCGGAGGAGGCGTAACTTTTCGCGTGTCTGAGCGGCAGGAACGGCAACGGAGTTCGCGGGGCCGAATACGCTTTTAAACTGCAGATCGCCGTGTGCGACGGCTGTTTACCCCCACCAAAGTCGACTCCAGGTTTTGTTTTCGTTCCTCGTGCGCTCTTTTCCGACAAATGCATTTCCCGATTTTTTTGTTGCACTAAAGGACGAATCTCGGATAACTTTATCAACCTTGTAAACATCATCTCGATTCAGAGCTTGGTTTAAATAATTTAAAACTATTTAATCTTATAAAATGTTTTAATTAGGGCACTTGTCCCTGAAATGTCTGTACAAAATATAACCATATATTCCTATGGCCAAAATAATTCGATATTACTAAATTTACTTCCATACAAATGTTGATAATATAATAACGAGTTAAAGTTGAAAGTTCGTCTTTGATTTTATTAAATTACTTTGGAAAAAAACAAACTTTTAATATATGAAGGGGTAAGAAGCAAAAGGGTACAAGTGCATTATAGCATGAAAATAGGTTAAGTTGAGAACTACCCAATGGTTTTTAATTTAATAACCTAAAAATTGTACGAGTTCTGCATGTTAAATAATGCAAACAACAATATTGAAACAAGTATCCAGATTTTTGTGAAGAGCAAAAACTTTATAAGTTAATGACTCCACTTCTCTTTTTTGCACTTCTTACCCCTTCATATGTAAAAAAAGTTCTATTTTTATTAAAACGTGAATACACTATAGCGCAAAAAAGATGTGACCATTTAATATCAACACGGAGAGAAAAGTATAATGCTGATTACCATAATTATAATACCCTTTACTATAATTTATATTACTATTTGCGACAACTATCTTGTATACTGCCAGATACTATGCATATTTAGTAATTTTTAAATATCCATGTATGTTAAACCTTAAGGTAAATTATTATTATTCTCAACCAATTTTGTTTTTAATTCTTATTATAATTAGTTTTTTTTCATTACTAATAAGTATAGTAAATTTTAAAATATTTTGTTGCCATTTTAAATATAAAATATTTTAAAATCGAATATTGTTATATGTTAACAATTAAAAATTTTAACATATTTATTGTACTTTTTAATAAAAAAAAATGTTTTGAGAAAGAATTGAACCTACACCTCGCAAAAATTTTTGTTTTGAATGCGTTCCATCAACTTCAAATACCGACAGGCAGGTGTTTTGACCTATATTGGGTATCATCAGTGTCGGCACGACACTGTCGAGCAACTTGTATTAGTGGAACACACCCAAAACAAAGAAATACCTGAGCTTATATAACATGGTTGGTAAGCCAACAGAGGCGAGATGTAAGAACATCGATTCCCGGTCACTTTTCCGAAAGTCATTTTCCCGACAGACCAATTTCCCGACAGACCATTTTCCCGACACACCATTTTCCCGACAAGATTTTTCCCGACACCATTTTCCCGAAAGTCATTTTCCCGAAAGTCGTTTTCCCGACAAGCCATTTTCCTGACAAGCCATTTTCCCGACAAGTCATTTTTAAGACAAATCATTTTTACCACAAACGACACAATATATTTTAACGTCATCCAATGACGCAATCTTAGGACGAGAAGCAGATCTTTTTTCCTTAACCAACGTCCCGAGTCCGCCCGCTTCGAAACCAACCCAAACCCAACAACCCAACCCAACCGACCCCGCCCCATTGGCCCTTACAGAATTCCAGAAGGAACAAGCGGATACCGAAATCATTTTTGACCAGGTATGTTTTTCTTTACTAGATAATAACTTTGTCGTGAACATAATCTTTCGGGAAAAGGGCTATCGGGAAAAACGTTTCTTAACTGGATAATAAGATTTTTGTCGTGAACATAGTCTGTCGGGAAGAGTGCTGTCGGGAAAAACGTCGTCGGGAAAATGGTTTGTCGGGAAAATGGTCTATCGGGAAATTGGTCAGTCGGGAAATTGCATTCGGGAAAGTGACCGGGAACCAAGAACATCACGTGATCCACACCGTCTAACGACGCGTCGCGACGCGGCCTTTGCCGCAATCGGTACATACTATGCAACCAAGTAGGTTCAATTCTTTTTACCAGTAATGGGTCAAGAAAGTTTATTTAACAAACTAAGAAAATTGAATGTTTAAAATGTCATGAGTTACTATATTGTATATTATATTTAAATATATGGTTTATTTACCTTAAAAATAAAAGTATCTTTATTTTTACTATATTTTTTATTAATTTGTAATATATTATAATATTAGATGTACACCTTACATTTAATACTATTTGTAGATAGTAAAATCAATTTACTATACGAACATATTAAAAATTAAAATATATATTATACATTTATGATTTAGTAATATTGGTGTTGTAATCTTTACTAAAATTGTATAATAAGAAATAGTATATTGTATTACAATTACACTAAAAATTTGTAAAGTAAATTTTACTATATTTTTTTAACTATCTAAAATTTACTATACCTACATTTCTCCCCGTGCACACTTTACACGTGCTCACTTGTTGTTTCCGAACTATCAAACTCAAATAAAACGCTAGTATCTCTATCTCGTGTCTCTATTTCGAAGCAGTTGACATAGAAGACGTCGCGACGTTAGGAAAAAGACAAGATTTTTGAATGTCAACTTTAATATTTTTTTCTGTTTAAACTACTTGGTAGAAAACTATTTTAGTTTTATATACGAATAAAAGAACTTTCCATTGTTCAAAAATAATTTATTTTTTCAGAAGAAAGCTGCAAAGAAGAAGAATATAATAATTAATGAATTAAAAAATCGCCTCTGAGGACAGTTAGGTTACAGGACATTTCACCTAGTTTTTCTGCCATATATAGAAACACAAAGTAATTAAAAAAAATACGATGGGCCCTAACAGGAATGGGGTATTTAAATATAATAAATACAAAACTTATCAACAAAGGTCAAAAATAAAAATAAAATTAGCTGGGGACAGCAAATGTACATTTAACGAAAATTTGCCTGTATTAAGTTAATGTAAACAAACAACTTAACAGACCTACGTTTCTTAAGTTAAGTTACGCTTATTAAGTGGACGTGAATAAGCTTTAAGGGTTAAAGCACTGCATTCTGTTAAATTTTGAGTTGAAATTTGCTTGTAGTTTTTTTTATTTTATTAAACGTTTGTTTGTGTTTGCTCGCTGTGTATGTATGATTTACCTTAAATGAAAAATAAAGATTTAGAAAATGGATATCTTATTATTGTACATTAATGTTATTAATATTATTATTATTTATTATTTTGGCGGGTTATCAGGTCACGTGGCCCGCGCTATTTTTAAAAGCCAGTCCGGTCCGGTCTCTACAAATGTCTAAATATCAAGAGTTGTATGCTAATTGGCTAAAGTTGAGTTAGTTAATTGTCTGTCTAGGATGTTTTCTTTTTAACCTTATTACCTTCAAACACCTTCAACGCTTCACTAAACACATAAATTATTATTGGAACAACCAGAAAATATCAAATACCCTTTTCCAAACACGTTCGTGCCCAGATAAAAATAATCTAAAAAACTTTTAAAAATCTGAAAAACATCCAAAAACGTTCTTACAATTAGTCATGCGACAGACTTTCCTATCTTCTTGGGGCTTTTAGCCAGTGGCGTGGAGTGTCAATTAAAAGGCGGTATGCAACGGAATCATAATACTATATTCTGTAACAAGTTTGGAATACAGCATATTTCGCTCGAGTGAAGAGTTTGTCACACGAGCCGAAGGCGAGTTTGACGGTTTCACGAGAGCGGAATACGCAATTCCAAACGTGTTTCAGACTATACTTTTTCGACGTTTCCAAAAAATACCATAGAAAAATAATTTAATTGGTAGAAAGTGAGGTTGGATCGGTTTTAAATTTTTTAGATATTAAAAACAGATATGTCGCCACGAGGGTTCATTCTGCCATTCGATGATAAAATATTTCATTCTGTAACACTTTACGGAATATATGTCATTCCATAGATCATCGTTTCTTAACATCGGGTCGCGACCCAAAGTTGGGTCGCGGGCCATATCGAGATGGGTCGCGGGACTTGCGGGACTTTTTGAAAAAGCGCGCCGTAATCACTGCATCCTTAATTTAAATTAAGAAAATGTAGAAAATTGATGATTTTATTTTTTATCGGGTCGCAAGCTTCTAATATTTTTGAATTGTGGGTCGCCAGCCAAAAAGGTTAAGAACCGCTGCCATAGATAAAAGTGATATTAGAACGGTCAAATTCCGTAATAGGAGTAGAAAAAAATCTTTATTTGCCCAAGAACGAGCATGGCCAACAATACATTTTATTTTTATGACTACACCCGCAGAGCTAATTATAATTGTCATAGATTTTTTTATTAAAATATCAAAAAGGTTTTATTTTGTTTCTGAACGATTTCCAAGTACAGGGGTAAATCTAATAATCTTATTAACATTTTGTTTTTCGGTAAAGTCATACTTGTGCTTACTGTTAATAAATTTTCACCCCACTGGAACTCCTTAATAGAAGGCACTAGAACTATTCACAAAATCTCTCTAACCAACAAAACTAACTCAAAATCACAAACAACAATCCCTTGTACTAGGTACTTAACTAAGTAAACTTTCAAAACAATAATTAACAGAGAGGCGCGTAAAATCCCAATCTCACACAAGAATAAGAATAGAAATAATAATAATATTTTTGTATGAAAATATTACTATGGTATTATTTCTTTGAGAATAGGGCACAGGGAACCTAAATTATTTTATTGGCCAGCGTAGTCAGACAACAACGGTTGTCTTGTTCAGTTTTTTACAAAAATTCATGACATTTAAAAGATATAAATATAATTAATATTTATTAAATAATAAAGCTTTTTTAATCAA